AAAGTTGTTATCGAATCGGCAACCTTTCAGGCAATGCATTCCAGATCCGAACAACTCACTGTGTGAAAGATTTCTCCTCACCTCCCCTCTGTTTCTTTTAGCAACTATTTTAAATCGGTGTCCACGGGTTACCGACCCACCCACCAGTGAAAATAGATTCTCCTTGTTCACCCTATCGAATCCCCTCATAATTTTGAACACTTCTATTAAGTTTCCTCTTAACCTTCTCTGCTCCAAGGAGAATAATCCTAACTTCTGTAGATTCTCCTGATAACTAAAGTCCCTCATCGCTGGTAAATCTCCTTTGCATCCTCTCCAATCCCTTGACATCCTTCCTAATGTGTGGTACCCAGAACTGAACACAGTCTCTAGCTGAGGCCTAACCTGTGCTTTATAAAGGTTCATCATAACTTCCTGACTTTTGTATTCTGTGCCCCTATTTATAAAGCCTGGTATCCCGTATGCTTTTTTAACATCTTTATCTACCTGTCCTGCACCTTCAAAGATTTACTGATATGAACCCCCAGGTCTCTTTGTTCCTTCACCCCCTTTAAGATTGTACCATCAGCTTATATCACCTCTCCTCGTTCTTCCTCCAAAATGCATCACTTTGCATTTCTCCACATTAAACCTCCTGTCTGCCCATATACCAGTCTGTCTGTGTCCATTTGCAGTCTGCTATCATCCTCCTCACTACCATCCAACCTTTTTGGTGCCTCCTCTCGGTTTATTCTTTATGTGCTTATAAAATACCTTGGGGTTCCCTTCTATGTTACCCGCTAATCTTTTCTCAGAAAATCTTTTTGCCCCTCTTATTTCTTTTCAGTTCTCCTCTGTATTTTCTATATTCTATTTTATTATCTTCTGTATTTTGGACCTGACATTTATCATACACCTCCTTTTTCTGTTTTATTTTAATCCCAATTTCCTTATTCATCCAGGAACGTTTGGATGCCCTACTTTTCCCCTATGTGGGAATGTATTTGTTCTGTCCCCGAACTATCTCTTCCTTGAAGCCTTCCATTCCTTGTTAACTGTTTTACCTGCCAATCTTTCTTTCCAGTCCAACTTGGTTAGGTCCCTTTTTAACTCATTGAAATTAGCCCTCTTCCAGTTGAGTATCTTCACCTTTGATTGCTCCTTGTCCCTTTCCATAAGTACTCTAAACCTGATGTTGTGACCACTGTTGTCCAGATGCTCTCCTACTGAAACCTGCTCGACTTCATTCTCCTGAACTAGATCCAGCACTGCTTCCTTCCTCATTGGACTGGAAACATACTGACCCAGAAAGTTATCCTGCAAACATTTCAGGAACCCTTTCCCCTCCTTGCCCTTTACACTGTTATTTTGTCAGTCTATGTTAGGATAATTGAAGTCCCCCATTATCACTGTTGCATCTTTCTGAATCTGCTTGCACATTTGCTCATCTATCTCCTTCCCACTATTTGGTGGTCTATAGTATATACATGGATATATTATTATTAGTCACTGTTCTGTTGCTTAAGTTCCTGGTTTCATACACACTTCTATCTGTGGTCTTGCATTCCTGACCTATATACTGTAGATGTACGTCTTACTAACCACATTAACAGATTGTTCCAGCGCAGAGCTCTACAATAACCTTATCCTTGAATATTTGTTTCAATAATACAAATGAGCAATTCTCCAGTGGATGGCTGAAGTCCCTCCCAGTCAGGGTATCATCTGTTTCCAAGGCCAGTACAAAGTCACTGAATCTTAGCTTCTTGCATTTACAGCTGCAACTGATTTCCTAATGTGCCAGAATTTAAATTCATACCCACAGATTCATACAATAATAATGATATTTATTATTATTACAAATATATACTGGACATGGAATATCCTAGGAATCAACAGGAGACTTTTCTTGATAAACCAATATTGTTGTCCCTTGTTTAAATATCATGCTTCAAGAATTTGAAGCAAATTGACAGCAATTGATGCCAAAATAGAACTAAATCCACATAATATCCCACAATGTTTATATTATGAATAAAAAGGTCACTGAGACCCTAGAGGCAGTGTACAGGAAGGCAACACATCTGATCACAAGTACGACAGAGAATGGCTATGAGAAACAACTGATAAGCTAGCAATGGCAGTTATGAACCTATAATGCTTTACTAATTTTCTGTGAAAAAGCAATAATTCACAAAGGGATTCATCAATAGCGATTCAAGTCACTAACAGGAAATCCGGGCAATAAGTCTGATTCAACAACTTTGTGCATCAGACTAGCTCAGTTGGTAGCACTCTCACCTCTGATTCAGAAGGTTTTGGGTTCAAACCCCACCATGGGATTTGGAGCCCATATTGTCTGTGTGCTGCATTATCGGAGGTGCTGTCCTTCCAACGAGTGTTGAACCAAGGTCCTGTCTGCCTGCCCAGGTGGGTACTAAAGATCATATGGCTCTATTTAAAAAGAAAAGGGAATTTCTCCTAGTGTCCTGACCAACAATCCCCCCAAATAAAATTGGTCACTCACAACTTTGCTATTTATGGGATATTGCTGTGCACAAATTGGCTGCTATGTATTTCCACAAAATACAGTCACACCATGTTACAGTATTTCCTGTGAAATGCTTTTGAGATGTCTCGATGACATGACAAGTCACTATATCAAATGCAAGGATTTGCAACATTACTAACTTGCAAGAACCCTGCAATCTACTTCCAATCCTTCAGTGTGAGATCCCACCGGCTGCCTGTGACATCCCTATTAGCGACTCAGTCACTATTAGTAAATCTAATCGCAAACAGCCTCTTTTTCCACCTCAATGTCACCATACCCCTCAACTACAAGCTTGAACTACTCCAAACTATCCATAGTAAACGTGAATCATCTTCTAAAACATTTTTAAAGACTATCCCACATAACCATTTCATGGTCCCCTACCATATGCCTCTAATTCTGGCAAATTAAAATAATACAGCAATGCAAGGAGTAGCTATATTGTCCAGTATATTGCAGAAATACAATCACTTGAATATGTATCATTCCTCCATTCCACTAGAGGGTGTAGGCAGTAGTTTCTGCAAATATACTGTAGTGTCCAAAAAAGTGAACATGAGAGAAGGATGGAGTAAACATGCAAAGGGTTTAATGGGCTCAAAGTAATTATGCATGGACTGCATGGCACTCGGTACATTGAGTGCGAATTGAACGAATCCTGCTTCTTCTCACATAATTCCCTTTGGAATAGGGAAACAGCTCATCAGGGGCTGGACAAAGGAAAAAGGAAATAATAATTTCAACTCCAATGAGACAATGCTTACTCCTCACCCCTGGAGGAAAATCATCAGCTGGTCATCTGACAGATGACAAAGGTAGGTTTGAGCGCAGGTTGGAATATATGCCCAAATCCCAGAGTTTAAAAGGACAACATACAAACACACAGCACCAACCATTCTTCATTCTATGGTCTCATTTTATCACAAGTTAATTTAAAAAAACTGAAATTTGGAATATTTTCAAAAATATCTGCTCCACAACTGGTGTGTGCAAAGATTCATATCTAGCTTACTAAATACTATGTTAGCAGACATAGCATCTGTTTCCCAGTCTAGTGAGAAGCTGGGGAATATATTTTATTAAATCAAGTCAAAAATAACACAACAAACTTCCTAACTGCACTACAGTAATTGAAATCTAACTACACAATGTCAAAGCAAGGGTATGACTTTCCTTTGACTTAAATGTACAAAAGGCACCCCCAGGGCCTCTGAAATTCCCAAATCTTTCAAGAACCCGTATGTAAGTATATCGCTGATGCATATTATAGTGATGTTCAGTCTTCAGGGGCCTGTCCTGGATATATTTTGCTGCAAAACAATTATGGTTAAAGAAACAGCATCATCCTGGGGAAATAAGTTTGTTAAAATTTATTTTAGGAAAAAAAAGGCAATTATATAAACCAATTCAAATATGCTGCTGTATGTGATGGAAATGACACATAGATCTAAGTTCCTCCCTCAAGAGGCTCTATACAATAAACCTCACATAAGTCATATTAGTTGCGATCTATCCTAACATAGACTGGCAAAATAACAGTGTAAAGGGCAAGGAGGGGGAAGGGTACTTGAAATGTGTGCAGGATAACTTTCTGGGTCAGTATGTTTCCAGTTCAATGAGGAAGGAAGCAGTGCTGGATCTAGTTCTGGGGAATGAAGTGGGGCAAGTGGAGCAGGTTTCAGTAGGAGAGCGTCTGGATAACCGTGATCATTCATTTAATATGACTTATGCGAAGTATGAATTATGTCAAACTTGCATAGAATATAGACTCTTGAATGGGACTTGGGAAAATAATAATAATCCGTGCATTTGATATAGCGCGTTATCACATCATCGAGACATCTCAAAGCGCTTCACAGGATATATCGTAAAGTGCAGTGACTGTGTATTTTGTGGGTGTACAACTTAGGTGATTTATACAGAACAGACTTATGCGAGTTTTACTGTACTTCTTACAATAATCCTCGGATTTCTTATAATAATGCTTAGCGCGTCATCAAAACATCTCAAAGTGCTTCGCTGGATTTAGGATGGAGTGTAGCGACTGTGTCTTTGTAAGTGCACACTCATTGCACGTTAACACTTGCAGCTTTTCTTTAAAAAAAACATATTAAAAATAAGTGTTGCGAAATGCAAGCCCGTGAACATTTTAAGAGAGAGAAACAACCTCTTGCAGCCTGAGGTGACCATGGAAACACTGGGCAAGAACACATCCACCTTGCAGTCACCTCTGCCTCACAGCTCACAGGCACCCAGTCAGCGCCTGAGCCAATTACACACCCACCCGTCAATTCAATTCGCCCCATTTTAACTAGAAACGATGCGAATTGCTTTACTCCTGTGTTCACCTTGGTTGTTTAAATAATAACAATGATAATTTTTTTAAACCAGGGGAGTTTTATTTGGACAGGCGCTCGGGCGAGCGGCGCCGCCGACAGTGATGGCCCGCGGGTCGGGGTCCTTCCTCAGTGCACACGGAGCTGGTGACCGAGGACCATGTTCTACAAGTTGAGCGGAATCACTCAGCGGCTGAGCGGCGGCACCGCGGCTGTGTACAACCCGCAGGTACGGTGGGGCGACCCTGGGGGGGAGGGGAGAGGAGGTGGGATTGGAGGGGGGAACGGCAGGACAGGGAGACCCCCGGGGCCCAAACCGGAGCCGAGTGTCGAGGCGCTGCTCCCGGAGACCGACCTACAGTCTAAGGGAACTGAGAGGTCAATCCGCAGTCACCACCGCCCCCCCCCACCCCCAACCTCGCACCCTGGGTTACCCCCACTCTCTGGGTCATCCCCACACTGCCCCCCTATCCCCCGCGCGCTCATCCCCACACCAGCCCCTGGTCATCTAAGTCAGGGTAAAATCTTTGACATCGCTGTCAGATGGACTTCAAACCATCCCATGGCACCAATTGAAAAGAAAAGGGAGTTTCTCCGGGTCCTGACCAACAATTCCCCCAAATAAAATTGGACATTCACTTCATGGCTGTTTGTGGGACATGATATGCTGCAAATTGTCGGTTGTATTTGACTGTGAAATACACAGGCACTACAGTTTAGAGTAAATCTTGTGAAGTGCTTTGTGATGCCCTCCCAATATGATGTGGCACTATATCTATTGTAAGGATTAATTATTTTCTCAATCATTTGAAAAGGGCTTGAAACCTCTGGTTTTCTCTGAACCTCCAACTATGATATTTGCAAGTCCAACTAACTTGGTATCCGTGGGCAGACAAGGGCTGCAGTATCTGCAACAGAACAAGGTGCCTGATTTGCAAAGAATGTTTCAGGTACGCCTCTAAAGATTTGTTTACTTTAGATAAGGCCAAATACAATATAATAGGGTCACAATGGATAATGTTATGCACAATGTATGAATGTTAACTTTTCCTATACTACTACTGCATGTGACTGGCGTTGGCTCATCGTGACATCCACAACAACCAGTGATGCGCATTGTCCCATACTTCCTGAGGCTCAAGGTCCAAATCAGCCCCGAACTGTTGCACTCAGTTATGACTCAGGTGCCCTCAAGACTGCCTCCAGGTAACGCCTGGTCTCCTGTCTGAATAGCAATTCTGAGAGCTGAGTGAGTAGGTCACCGTTCTTCCATTGGACATGTCCGATGATTTAGTGACACTTCTCTGTGTCTCTGCTCAGGTCGGACGAACTGGTGTGAGCCGACACAGCATCATTTGTAATATGGTTAAACTTGCGTATTCCAAAGATCCGGTGCTGGCACCCCATGTGGAATACTTAAAGCGTGTCCAAGTCTCTTTTCAGCAGCGTCCATGTTTCCATGCCACATAGATGCACTGACATCATCCTGTGACTCCACAGCTTCAAAGCCAGGGACAGACCCTGGTTGGTACTTCACCGAGCGCGCCATGCCAATGGACGTCCACAGTCGCAGTACACACTAACCCAAGGAATCGTTGTCGGGTCTTAGATATGAGAGCCTGTGCACCAATTCGGCCGTTTCACCAGAGAATGTTATGGAACGATGTTCAGGCCCTTCGTCTTGGTCCACGATCGCCGGAGCCCCATGGAGACAGCTGCCTCTTCAAAGCGCTTCAGGATTCCTGGCCACTTCGCCGGGTCAGATTTCATATATCAATGTCTCCAAATAAACTGAAGAGTAATTTATGCGCCACTCTACATTTCAGGAACTGTCGAGTAGTTGATGTGTTTTCTCCTAGGGAACGGGCACCATATGCCTGCTACAGCATCCTCATCAGGAGCATTTGATTGCTTTGTCAATTTCTGTACATTTTAGGTTTGCTTCATTTAAAGACTTTATCGTAATTTTTTTGTTGTTGCAGAAATCTGATGGTTTACCTGTGCATCTCAAGCGTGGTGTCCCTGATCGACTGCTCTACAGGACCACAATGGCATTGACTATTGGAGGGACCATCTATTGCCTGGTGGCACTCTTCTTGGCAGCTCAGCCCAAAAACAAATAAAGATTCTGCTGTGACTGATACTGATACCTCTAAAATCCTGAACACCATGACCAAGTAACAGACGTTCACTGATTTCTTCCTACTTTGGGTGCACTTTAATGTCTGTTCATATATGGGATTGATCTTGTATTGGGGTATTGTGAGCATTTTAGAGCCCAGTAGCCTGACTCACAGCACTGAAACTTGGTTAATGATGCATTAATTGTTTAATAAATGTGTTGTGTTCTAGAAAATGGATTAAAAAAAACGAGCCTGTAAAGTAATTGGAGCATTGGTGGCGACCTATTGGATTTTCTTTAATTTGCACAAAAGCTCATTGGGATCTTTCATTTCTGCGACTGAACACCCATTAAATATTGTTTTGAGATTGTTGTATATACTTTTAACTTTAATAGCAATTGAATGTGGATGAATTCAAAGAAAGGCTCCATAATATTAGTCTATTTCCAAGGAACTTACTGTACAGATTAATTTTACTTTGGGTGGAAACTGCAAAAAATGTATTTAAATTATCTTTCGGTATGTAACTTACACCATTATGTTAAATGTCAGTGTGGCAACAAAGCAACAAAGTTGCACTTTTAAGACCATGTTATATCTATAAATGTTCTGACTCCCATTGGTTAAACAGTACACAAGGATCAATGAATGGCACAATACTTTGGATCAGTTTTGAAAAATCAATCCATTAATAAAACTCTTGACTGAAAATTATTATTTTCATCAACAAAAGAAACAGACAGTATACAATTACTTCAGTTTTTCTGTATGGAATTAGAAGACTGATAACCTGTACCTCATCAAGTGTATCTGAGTTCAGCTAAATTTGGTTTAGGTGTATGTAATAGAGTTTAAAATAATTATTCCAGCAAGTAGATCTTTACCAGTGTAATTTTGGAACCAGTACTCCTTCAAGTTATCTTTTGAGAGAAAACATTGCAACAAGCCACTATGCTAAATGCAAGCATGCCATAAGTTCAGATGTCTTGGGTTGAATATATGGCTTACAAGTCCTTCAATTTGCTATAATTATATCTCATAATCTAATGTGGGTAAATTGCAGAGTTTATGAACAGTTGGGCCAGAGATTGGCAGCTTCAATATTTACGACCCCATTAAAACATTGCCTTTTCACCTGTAAATTGTTAAGTGCAGACCATTCGTACTGTTCTTCATTCATCACATTTTCATGGTGTTAAACAAGTGTGTGAAAGAGGTGTTGCATGCGTGAGAGCACTTTATTATATGTCATGCCCATATTGCCCACAGCAATGAGCTCACCTTCCATCAGTTCATGTTCGCTTTGTGGATCGTCACATACGCAAGACTTCCTTTATGTATGTCGACCAATAAAACTTGTTTTTACGGACTAGTCACTATGGAAACTAGCGAGGTCTCCACTATCCCAGTCTACAGATAATGAAATGATTCTGGAGAAAAATGGTAACGAGTAATTTCAATTGAAACAGCACTCTAAATTAGAAAATGTTTTGTCTGAACTCACAAGGTCAATTTGGAAGCGAAAGCCCTAAATATTATCTTGTTTATCCCCCTGCCCCCAACCCCCACCTCCCCCCTTCATTAATGTCAACATATTCAATTACAGAACATTTCATTTTGAGCTATCTGACAGCTACTAAAGCTGAATTACCTCAGTTCTTTCAGTTGCTTTCTGTAAATGCCAGTCACTTTCTGGGAGGCGTAAAAGGAAGAAGTGAATGGGAGAATAGAAAAAATAAATATAAACTTTTTAGTGGCTAAAAGTTCAATACGTGTTCACCAGTTAATATAGTAGGAATCTTTACATTTTATATAGTGCCTTTCATGTTGGGATGGAGGATATATTTACAGTATTCCCTGCTTCACAAAATCTACAGTAAAATGTAATAGCTTTCAATTCTTTTCTACCTTTGTACGGACTGGATTGTGTAAAACGCCTGCCTAAATGACATTCACTCAGATTTGTACAAATTAAATTTTTAGATTGGGAACATTGGCAAAATCATGATTTACACACTTTATCAGATATACCTAGATATACACCCATAAGATCTATTCTATTGTCATTTTTCACAATTTGTCAATTCTTAACAAGGAGTTAGAGGAAGCAGTTTTATTTCATATATTCTAGATTTTCTTTTTTTTGAAGGTATGAATCCTATTCTTATCAGTCTCTATGGCATGCAATCTGCTCCCAGCTCACAGTTAGTGCTGCTTTGCATTGACTATAAAGAGATACACAAAGGATACCTGGTGATTCCTCTGCCCCTAATTTCCCTCTTTGTGGAGGCGTTGACCCACTTTCACTCTAGGTCTGCCTGAAGAAGCATGGTTGAGATCAGAATTTATCTGCATCCTGCATCCAATACCATGTTGCTCTTTCATTTTGTGGAGTCCTCTGGCTCAGTGGTTAGAGCACTCGCTTTGCAAGCGAGAGACCTGAGTTCAATTCCAGGCAGAGGGCGAAACCTTGGGCAAGTTTCCTTACTCCACACGCCTAATAATAATCCCTCCAAAACAAAACAATAATAAATTGGTCATTTTCAATCCACGACTGTTTGTGGGACACTGCTGTGCGCAATTGGCTGCCGCGTTTTGCCCACAAATATACAGTCAATTAACTTTACAGTATATTCTGTGAAGCGCTTTGGGACGTCTAGAAGATGTGAAAACGCTATATCAAATGCAAGGATTATTATTATTATTTCTTTGTATACATTGTAGATACCCTTTTTACAGAATCTTGTCTTCTCAGAAATAAAAATGTTAGAATGGCACAGTAGGTTAATAAGCATCTGAAAGAGAAAGATCGCAAGACAGATTTGTCAGAAGGTTTGCCTTCATCCCACTTGATCTTATCATGTTTCAGCCTGGCTCAACTGGTAGCATTATTGCCTCTGAGTCAGAAAGTTATGGGTTCAAGCTCCACATCAGAATTTTGAACTCATATAATCAAGGCTGATACTCCAGTGCAGTACTGTGGGTGCATTGCATCGTTGGAGTCAGACATCCAAACCGAGACATCTTTGCCAGTTCAAGTAGGCGTTAAAAGATCTTTTGGCACTATTTGAAAAAAGAAAGAAATTTCTTCAGGTGTCCTGGCCAACAATCCCCCAAATAAAATTGGTCATTTACTTCATGACTGTAGGTGGGACATTGCTGTGTGCAAATTGGCTGCTGTATTTGCCTATAAAATGCAGTCATTCCACTTTAGAGTACAATCTCCGAAGCACTTTGAAACATCCTGCTAACTATATCAAATATTAGGATTGTTGTTATTATCTTTCTCGAAGAATCACCCTACTGTCCTTCCAGAAAAGCATCAATCTTTTTTTAAAATTAGTAACCTTTGGGTAAGGAAGTATTTTCTGGTGCTCGTCTTGAAATGGCCCTTTACGACCCGTAACCTGTGCCCTCTTGTTCTGCTGCCTTGGCATATCCAAAAGTACTTTCTCAATGCCATTTAAAAATGAAAGTCCTGGCTAGCACGTTTCATCAGAACTGAAACAATGGAGCCCTTGTTTAGGATAGCAGTGAGCAATCAAAACCACGCCAAGAAAAACAGGTTATTAATGCTGGTTTTATATTACAAGTTTACCTCCCAAGGCAAGGCTACCTCCAGTATATGCATAGGCAGGATGGTCTGAATGGCCTCTTTATGTTCTACAAACATTTCTATGATTATATGGCACTGAGATTCCTTTATTATTGTTCATTCCCAAACATGAATTACAGAATACGTGAAGAATGTCATTCCAACAGGAATTTATTTGCAATGGAATGCACTGCCTCAAGTAAGTGTGGTAAATACAAGAGGGAGGTATCTGACCTGTTTGTCCCCCACAATCCATTAACCCCAGCCTTCGCTCGACTGGCTCCGGCCTCCTGCTTGTCCCTTGTGCCCTATCTTTCAAGCACTAATCACCGAAACTCTGGAACACTCTTCCTCTACCCCTCCATCTTGCCCCTCCTTTCCCATCTCCAGCTCAGCATTGTACTCTGACATTGTCAAGCACTCTAGGATGTTACCTGGTGTAATGCTACATAAATACAAGTTGTTGTTTGTTAGGTGTCAAATTGGTTCACTTGGTAATATTTAACTGAGCAGAAGGTTGTGGATTGAAGCTCCACATTGCAATTTTAACTCGCAGTCTAGGTTGATACTCCAGTATAGTGTAGGGGTGCGCTGCATTGTCAGATGTGATGTTCATCGGATGAAACATTAAACGTAGGTCGCATCTGCCTGTTCAAGTGGATGTTAAAGATCCCATGGCTTTATTGAAAAAAGATGGTTTCTCCCATTGTCCTGGCCAACATTTCCCAGGATATAATTGGTTATTTGCTTCCTGGCTGTTTGTGAAACGCTGCTGTGCAAGTGGGTTGTTGTCTTTGCTTACAAAATACACAGTCATTACACTTTACAGAAATACAGTAAGTGCCTTGAGAGATCCTCTGGATGTAAAAGGCTTTACATCAAATGTAAGGATTATTATAAATAGTTTTCAAATGCCTTTGTCATCTCTCTGAGGAGTGATATCACAATCTCAGGTAGCTTCAAGGAGATTTGGATCATTTCCAACTGGGACACAAACAAGGTTTACCTCCCGACACTAGGCACTATACAAGTGTAATTTGTTGTTATGTAGAACAGATACAAAATAATAACGATCTTTGCACTAGATATAGCACCTTACCATGTCATAGAAATGTCTAAAAGTGCTTCATAGGATTCACTATAAAGGTAGTGACTGTGCTTTGAATGTTACAAGTTCTATTTATACATAAATTCTTCCTTTTAGCATAGTATGGTTTCCTATAATTTCTGTCTCCAAGCAAAAAAAAACTGACAGCGCCGTCTTTAATACCTTGTTTGAACAAATCAAATTTGACTCAAAATCATATTGTTCTGAACAGAATTTAATCGGGGTCTGCAATTACAAATGCTTTTCTCTTATACAGCGCTCGCATCAAATGGTATTGAATTACCCCCTACTGTGTGCTCTCTGCGGTACAGTGGGAAATAGGTGAGCGGAAGTTTACATTAGGATGTTCCCAAATAAAGTCTCTCCATAGCCCTGCAATACTGTCCTCCCCAAATACCCATCTATTTCTCTCTTAAAAGTTGTTTTTTAATCGGCTTTCACTACCCTTTCAGATAATGCATTCCAGATCTGAACAACTCGCTGGGTGAATTTTTTTTCCCCCTAACCTCCTCTCTGTTTCTTTTAACAACTATCTTAAATTGGTGTCCTTAGGTTACTGACCCACATGCCAGTGGAAACAGTTTCTCCCGGTTCAACCTATCAAATCCTCTCTTGATCCTGAAAACTTCTATTAAATCCCCTCTTAATCGTCTCTGCTCTAGGGAGAGTAATCCTAGTTTCGCTAGGATATCTAAGGTCCTTCATTCCTGGTACCATCCTGGTAAACCTCCTTTGCATCTCTCCAATGCCCTAACATCTTTCCTAAACTGCGGAGCCCAGAACTGATCACAGTACTCCAACTGAGGCCCAATCGGCATTTTATAAATATTCAACATAACCTCCTAACTTTTGAATTCTATGCCACTATTTATAAAATCTAGTATCCCATATGCTTTTTTAACAGTTTTATCTACCTGTCCTGCCACCTTCAGACACCCAGGTCTCTCTGTTCATTTGTCCCCTTTAAAATTGTACCATCTAGCTTATACTGCCTCTCCTCATTCTTCCTACCAAAATGCAAT